CGCAACGGGCCGGCTGGACGGCGCGCGTCTCCTGCAGCACGTGGGTGCGCATGGAAACCAGAGAGGAGGAAAGCTCGCAGCAACGGGCAAGCGGCAGCGATTTAAATCACAGGTCCCAGACCTGCGCCGGAGCAAAATCGGAGCAGCGACAGCAGCTGCGGGGCCCCCGGCTACCGCTCTCCCCCTGCCAAGGAGGTCGCGTCCCTCCGACGCAGCCGAGACACGGCCAACGGAAGCGATGCTTGCACAGGTTTCGGAGAGGGCTTTCCAGATGCTCAGCCCCTGCCGGCTTCCAAGCCTGCTCTAACTACTGAGGACGCTGGATGTTTATAGCGCGTGCTTCGAGCCTGCGGGGAGCGGAGACGCTTCCCGGCCAGCCTGCGAACTCCAGCTGCCGCCCAAGTGACGTTTTCCCGGACGGCCACGACTCTTCCCTCCCCTCTCGTGCTCCCGTTTCGCCTCTCGGCCGGTCTCCGGGTCAGCGCGAGTCCCGGAGGCCAGCATTGCACAACGTCACCGTGCAAGAGGCTCCCGGGCCGGGGAATAACACATTCCACGTTTGGAGCAGCGGGGACTTTTTTTTTTTTTCCTTTTTTTTCTTCGCTTTGACTATCACCGCCCATTCGGGGAAGCGGAGGAGAGCTGGAAACGCCACCTCCCTCCTTGCTCACCCTCGTCCCGCAGGCCCACCCTAAACAACCGTAACCCTGTCGGCTACCGCCGCCCTCGCCGCTGCCTGCTCCGCTCCTCTCCTGAGCGATTCGGGAAATTCCCCTCTCTCCGCACAATCTCCTTCCAATTTCTGCTCCTCTCCCTGGCTCCGAGATGATGGTTTGGTGGTTTGTTGTTGTGTTTTTTTTTTCCCTCCTCCCCTTTGGGGGATTTTCAGCACTAAGATCATAAATCGAGCCTCGTGGTGAGGATGCTGAGCATCAGCTGCTCGTGACTACAACAAGATCCCGGCAAGCCTTTTCCTTGGAAGAGGGGAGAGGAGATCCATGGGCTGCTGACCCCAGGCAAGCTACAGACCTTGCTGCGGCACCGGGGAGGGGAATTAGCTGCAACCGCCTTCAGCGACGTCCGAGGACACGGCTGCAGAGGGACAAACTGCCCCAGGACACGGCTGGGGACCCTCCCAAGGAAATTCACTGATTCCCAGCTGACTGGCACCACGACGAGCACACACAAAAAAAAATATGCCCCAGCAGCAAATAAGGTGGCGGGGAGAGAATAAATGCAATGCCACGAGACTCCTGCAGCCCCTCGGAGCCCGTGGGTCCCTCCAGCTGCTCAGTTGGGTGACGCGTAATTTATCTTCCTGCTTTGCGGCAACGACTTGTAGACCGTGCAGGAGAGAGGAGCCGTCCCCCGTCCCCGCGCGCGTACGCTGCAAACACCGGAGAGCTGTTAAAGGTTGGGGGAGAAGGGGGAGAAGGGGCAGAGACACTGAGAGAGGTGAATCACCCAAAGGTTACGGGGTGGCTGCGGAGCCCCGGGTCCATCTGATGCCCCGTGCTTTGGCCATCACGGCCCCGAGGGACGAGCGTCCCTTCCTGAGCTCCGGGCAGTTGGCGAAAGGCCATTTTGCAGGGCAGAAGGATTTTTCCACCCAAACCAGTGCCAAAGCAGGCAGGATAGTCCAGCGACGGACCCTTCGCCCCGCTTTAAAAGGGCATTCACGCCAAGCATCATCCTAGGAAAAAACCAGTGGCAAGCGGAGAGGGCAGCCGAGGCGTCCCTAGGCTGGAGACCTGCCCTCCTCGGAGCCATCCGAAGGGAAACCGCTCCCGAGAGCGGCGAAAGGAGCCTTCCCAAATGCCCCGGCTCGGGCTGCGAGGTGGATTTTCTCCTCCGCCGATCACCCGCCGGCGCAGCCCCGCAAGCTTGCCCTGCGCTTTACCCCGCGCGGATAAGACAGGAAGAAAACCACAAATATTTGCTAACGTCGGCTGCGGACAGCTTGGGATGAACCCAGGCGTTGCGGCGGGGCTAAAAAATCCTGCTCCAGCCTTACGGCCGTAACCTCGGCTGCCCTCCAGCTTCCACCTCCTCCCCTCCCTGGCCCCTCCTCAGGGGACGGTGGCCGCCCCGACGCTGTCCCCAACTCCCCGGGGAGCGCCGGTAGCTCAGGGCTTTTTGCTGTGTATGAGTTTGAAGGCACGCGATCCCTTCCTTGCCGCGCCTCCCCGACAAAGCGCTGGCTCCTCCAGCCCATCGCCGCAGCGTCTGGTCCACAGGTTTGGCTGCACCCAAACTGGGATCGCGCGTCGGGGAAAGGGACCCTCGGCGCTGCCGCAGGTCTCAGCCCTGCGTGGTTTGGGCTGGAGATGGTGTCTAAAGTCATCCAGGCCATCCAACCACCCCGTGCTCCAGGGACGGAGAAGGGTCTGCCTGCGCCAAACCCCAGATTAACACAGGCACGAGGTCTGCCGGGGTCTGCCCTCCTCCTCCTCCTCCTCTTTATCCCCATCTCACTCCCTCATTTCTGCTTCGGACTCGGATCCCATCGGCAGCGGGGTCAGACTGACCCAGCCTCGCCTGCGACAATCCTCACCGCCTTCAACGACAGCCCGGGGAAGACCCAACTCCCCCCCCTCCTCAAGAGCTTCAAGATCAAGATTCGACCTAAAAATAACCGCAGCACACCTCGTTCTCCTTCATTTAACCAGCAGCAAAGTCCGCGGGGAGGCTATTTTTAGTCTCCTTAGGTTCGGTTTTGTTAATCCAGTGACGGTTCGCTAACGGGGTCCCTTACGAGTGAACTCCTGCGGAGAGCACACGCATCCCCAGGACCCGGCCCCAGCCGGGGTGCAAACACCCCGTGCGTCTCTGCCGCTGAATTTTCCGGCCTTTCCTGGGTAATTAACCGGTGCAAATCAACACGTTTCCCTCGTTAGCAACGGCTGCGCCAAATGGACGGCGCCGACCGGCTACCACGGGCTCGCACGTCCTCGTACTCACCCAAAACGTGGGTACGTACGGTATATTATATGGCCCTTTTTCTCCCTCTTTATGGGACGCAGCTGCTGGTTTTTTAAAAAAAAAAAGGCCCAGGGATCTTCTCTTCATCGGGGATCTGCTCGATCTTTGGGACTATTGGAAATTTAGGCCGCTTTTTTCCTGCAAACACCTACAAGTTCTGGTTTCCTGGAGGACCCAGGTGCTTTGGTGGCAGCCGGCGGCGTCGGACGCCGCCTCCGCGCCGTGCTTTGGGGGCGGCCGGCGGCGTCGGACGCCGCTTGCTCGCTGCTCACCGCGTCAGGAAACGGGCGCCACTTCCATTTTCCAAGTCGTCGGGTCCGTCAGTCAGTCGACGTGACATCCTGTTTGCAACGCCTCCCAGCGGGAGGCTGCTATTTCGGTTTGGACGCCACACGAGCAGCAGCCTTCTCCTGAAGGCTTAGGACGCGGACAGCGTGTGCACGTAGGAGGAAGCGCGTCAAGCAGATTTTATTTTTAAAGAGCTGCTTATCTATAAATATCGTTGAAGAAAATAAATATTGGGCCAACGCTGGCGTGCTTGGATCGAGTTAAAAACTACTTTACTCCCCTCTGCTATTTACTTAAGTCTCTGCTGCGCGTGTGGCTGGATGGACAGACCCACGTCGCAAGAATAAGGTCCCCCCCCCCAAAAAAAAGAGAAGCCCAAGGGGTGTCGCAGAGCAAAACGCAAGCCAGTTCCACGCTAACGGAAACGACCGTCGCTGCGGGGAAGCTCGTTCAACTCTCCCTGTTCGGCTGCGGCGAGGGGCACGCAAAAACGCACTGGAGAGGACGACGACTTTGCGCTGGGCGGGACGGGAGTAAGTTCAGTCAACGTGACCGGGAGTTAATAAACAGCCCCCCCGGACGCTCTCACTAAACTGATCCCCACCCCCCCCCAAGAGCCAGCTAAGGTGACCTGGCTCCGATAAAAGCAAGTCCCCAGATGGCTAACCGCCACAGGAACGGCCTCAATCATTAAACCAGCTCCTCTCAATCATTACCCACCGCGGCCCCTGCCCTTTGCATCCTCTTCGAATCCTTGTAGGGCTCTCGGGTGTTTACGCTCGCGTGCCTGCCTTCTGCGCCGCACGTTAATTGAGAAGGACGAGGACACGGCAGCACGAAGCCGGGCCGTTCCCAGCGGGATGCGTGTCCTCATACTCACACTCTTTCATCATGCCGATGTCCACGCAGCGCTTCAGCCGACACGCCTGGCAGTGCCGCCGGTTGTCCTTGGTGATTTTGCAGTCGCTATTGAACGGGCAGGTGAACATCGCTTTCCTCTTCATGCTTCTCCTGGAGGGGAACGGGAGAAAATAAATCAGTAAATGCCTTGGGTCAAAATCAACGCCCGTTTGCCTGTGCAAGGGGCTGCTCCGAACGTCGGGAGGAGGGGCGCAAATCCAGCTCTCCGGACAGCAAACTGCCGGAGAGGGATTGCTGAGAGGATGCTGGAGACGTCTCTGACTTGACTCTGTTCCGCTCAGCTGGTCGCTCGAGAAGACCAAGTTGGAGCGGCTGCAGCCGGTTGGGTGCATCTTACGGGTTTGATCTTAGAGGTTCGGGCATTGCCGGACAGCACAGGAGGAAAAAAAAAAAAAGACAACTTCTTACAAGGACGCAGCCCGGGGGTTCAAGCATAGGTTAAGCAGCTTTCTGGTTTTGAACAGGTATTTTGAAGGCCAAAAAGAAGGGTGGGAGGATTGTAGAGAAACCCCCACCAGCAGCGAAAGAAACCAGAGCGGAGGCCGGTATGTACCAAAGCAGCCTGCGTTATTAAACATTTACCAGCCTTTAAAGCCTGGCTTTGCTAGAATAACTGGCTGGAGCGCATGTTTGTGCGCGCGGGAGAAAGAAGTCTCACTGCAGGGTACAAGAGAAACAACACTTAACATAATAACCCTCTCCTTCCACCAAAACCACACCGTGCCACGTTAATCCGCTGCTGCAATCGGGACTGTAAATCTTCCAAGTACAAAGGGTCAAAGCCGGAGCTCCCAGCGAAAACTCGCCTTTCTGCGGGGCCGTCCTGCGCGACGGCCACTAATGACACGTTACCCGCAGAGCTGGG